AGGACCTCTGAGAGAACACCCAGGGAATCAATTTGCCGTGTAGCACACCAATCACACCATGTGTTCCATGCCGACTGATACACACGGTCGGTGAGGGAACGCCATGACGCCAAGAGTAGGGTGGCAGTGTCGCCCGAAACTCCGCTGCGGCTGTTGCTAGCCCGGAGAGTTTCCATGCGACCTGGGTGAAGTGAGCTGACTGTACTGACGGGTGAACTTTGTGATCTGGTCCAGCAAACAAGACCGAAGAGGCTGACAGCACGCGGGGAATGTCCACCACTAGTGCCAAGAGAGCTGGAAACCAAGCCTGGCCGGGCCAAAGCGGAGTGACCATGACTATGGATGGGATTTCCTGTAGAACAACCCTGGCCGGGCATTTGCCAATCAGATAGTTTGGAGGGAAGGCATAGACTTGCAGGCAGGACCAGTCGAGACGGAAGGCATGCGGGCTGTGTGCATATGGGCGCCAACTGACGTACATGTGCAGTCGAAATTTAGTGCGAGATGCAAACAGGTCGCAGGCACTCGGTCACATGATCTGGTGAACCTGGAAAACTGACCGGTTGAGCATCCAGGCGCTGGTATCCGTGTGATGGCGAGAGTGATAATCGGCAACTGTATTCACTGCACCAGGTAGATATTGGGAATCAAAGTGATATCTCTGAGCAGACTGACACCACTCCCACAGCGTGGCAGCTATCCTGTCTAATGTCGGTGATGAACGGCTGCCAGTGCGGGGCAAACAGGGAACAGCCACACGGTAGTCGAGCTGCAGGAGAATACTGCCCTGGTATAGAGAAGGCGCTAGCGACTGGACAGCATACTGGGCTGTGAGCGGTTCCGGGACATTCATGTGAAGCTGCTTCTCGGCAGATGTCCATCAGCCGCCTGTGGTGACATTGGCACAATATGCACCGGGCCCCACCCCGAATGACCTGCATGGGATGCATCGGACTGGATGGTGAGGCCCGGTTCGGAAAGGCGTACAGGTCGCCCACTCCACAGCTGGAGATGCCGAATCCACTAATGAATCTCGGCATGGCACTCATGACTGAGAGTAAGCCGGTAAGTGTAAAAGGGACCCTGCCGTAGGAACGTGGTCTTCAAACACTGCAAGCGACGATAGTTAAGTGATGCAGGAACCACGGCAACCATGGTGGACACCATCATGCCCACAATTGACGCAATACCCCGAAGACATACGGTGTGAGCAGCCAGCAGACGCGCACATTGTTGTTGAAGCATGGATGCTTTCGAGTCTGGCAATGAGAACTCCATGGTGACGGAGTTGACCTGAATACCCAGGTATTGTATCTGCCTGGTGGGAATCAGATACGACTGCGTCCAGTTGATGTCGAACCCAAGACCAATCAGCAGATGAAGAATGATAGCAACAGGGAGAAACAGGTCGGACGTTGTCCGTGCCATGATAAATATGTCGGCGAGGTAAATCACCAGGTGTAGGCCGAGCGAACGTACCATCTTCACCACAGGGTGCAGAGCTAGTCTTGGTGAAGACTCTGGCCTCTGGGACCACTGCGCAAGCCAAACGGTAGACAGTTAAACTGGGAAATCTGTTGAGACCACTGAAAACTGGAGAAACTGACGATCGAGCCGCTGGACTGGAGAAATAAGCATCTCTTAAAGGGGAAGTTAAGGCAAAAATTAAAATTTCACCAGTTGTAGTCTTCGGGGTGCTGAGTCGAATGGTCTTGGTCCGAGAAAGCTGAGACGCTCCCTTCCTACTTGAATCCCAATCGAACTCGCGCACTTCCACCGAAACTGGGTGACTGCGCCCTACGAGATGGGGATTTGTATGCAAAATGTCACTAAAAGCGCCATTTCGTTCTTATAAAAGCACGGATGACCGCGATTGGCCCATATGTTGTAGTCTTTTGGACGCTGAGTCGACTGGATTTGGTCCGAAAAGGCTGCGATGCAGCGTTCCTCCTTTATTCCCAATCGAACATGGTTGAAGAAGCGGTCACGTGCTCCTGGGTGCCCAAATCACCTGGTCACCACGCCAGCAGGCGACAACTTTCACACCAAGGTTCAACTCGAGTGACAGGACTGCACCCAAAAAAGGTCAAAACAGGCTGTAAGTTGTACCCTGCAGGCACGGTGACCAGGTGACTGGTGTACGCAGGAGCACGTGACCGCTTGTTCAACCATGTTCGATTGGGAATAAAGGAGGAACGCTGCATCGCAGCCTTTTCGGACCAAAACCAGTCGACTCAGCGTCCAAAAGACTACAACATATGGGCCAATCGCGGTCATCCGTGCTTTTATAAGAACGAAATGGCGCTTTTAGTGACATTTTGCATACAAATCCCCATCTCGTAGGGCGCAGTCACCCAGTTTCGGTGGAAGTGCGCGAGTTCGATTGGGATTCAAGTAGGAAGGGAGCGTCTCAGCTTTCTCGGACCAAGACCATTCAACTCAGCACCCCGAAGACTACAACTGGTGAAATTTTGATTTTTGCCTTAACTTCCCCTTTAAGTCTATCCCGATCAGGACATCCCCTAGCTGCAGGTGATCCGGCACTGTCTTCAATGACTCCAGCGCGAAGTGGTGATACTACAGATAGTTGTTCAGCGATCGGAGGTTGATAATTGTGGGGGCCGGGGTTTGCCATTATTAAAATTATTTCTTTTCTTTTTGTTTTGTCTTCTCACATTCGTCACTCTGTGAAATGTCACGAATGATAGCAAATTGCCGTGTACCACAAAGAGCCATTGGCAAAACAAACCAATGCATGGCTCGTAATTATTATCGCCTTACTCAGGACCGCCGGATGCAGCGTTTGAGTGGTCCGGTAGTATCATGGCCGTTATACCTTGTGTAGGGTATGACGGGTACGCCTGCCCTCCACAGTAGGAACACACGTGTTCGTGGCTGAAAAGTTGGTCCGGTAATAACCTGACCAGCTCCGGCGGCCTGTTATTAATCGCACATCACGGCAGTATGCCACAAGCACAATTGACAAACATGTCACCCGGCAACTGCACACGGGTGCGCGTTACAGGATTGGCCTGGCAACTTCAAACAGGCGCAATTGACAAACATGGTGCTCCGCTGGGCAACGTCAGCGGGAATGCACCAAAACAAACACAGCCCCGGCATCAGCAAACGGGAACGCCGTTACAAATATGGTGCCCCGGTAAACTCAACGGGAGCGCACTAATACAAGCTGGCCTGGTAGCTTCAAACAGGCACAACTGACAAACGTGGTGCTCCGCTCGGCAACTTCAGCGTGAGTGCACCAATACAAACACGGCCCCGGCAACAGCGAACGGGAAAGCCGTTATAAACATGGTGCCCGGAAAACTCAACGGGAACGCACCAATGCACCAATCATGTGACAAACACGGCCACGGCAACAGCAAACAGAATCGCCGTTACAAATATGGTGCCCCGGCAAACTCCACGGAAACGCACCAAGCTGGCCTAGCAAATGGGTACACTGTTACAACATCAGACCATCACATCAAGATGCCGCTGCGGCAACAATGTATATGTAGCAGCAATACAGCAGACATGTGAGGTGGATGTGATTGGGACCGTTTGGCCCGCGTGCTACGCCCGAGGTGGTGGCAAGTAACACTGTCCTGATGTGAGGACTCCGAGTCGGCACTAGCATCTGAGCTCTGAGTCTGACTAGAACTAGACTAGTCTAGAGACTTAGAGTAGTGCTCACCCTCATCTGAGTCGGAGTATGCCGGTCTTTGACTGAGAACAGTCAGACTCACACTCGGAGGCACTGGCAACAGTGTCCGCCGGACTCGTAGGCACTTAGGCCAAGCAGGTCGTGAGACCGTTCAGGCCGTTTAGGCCGTTAGTGCTCGTCACATTTAAGGACGCACTATGGTGCCGACAAGGTGCCGGGCTGGAGCCACCAGCCACTCGTGTCCTGGCTTCGCCAGAAACATCACACGACCCAAAGTCACGGCGTGACTCGCGTGGACGCAAAACACTCAAAGCACCCGGCCCATCTTGGGGTGTCATCACACGCCCGCATCCACGGCTCAGGGGGTTTCGACCGCATCGGCCGGCACGTGGGCAAGGCGGCGAGCCGCCTGATCATCGTCACGCAAAGACTCTAAAAGCTTCTCCATCGCCAAGAGTCTAAGACGGTGAGAGGAAATATCCAAGGCACTTCTTGTTCGAGCATGAAAAAAGGCCTAAAGGGCCTTGGATGAGCTGCATCAAGTACAGCTTCATTAGAATATTGAACTTTAAAAAAATGCTGTGTTCGAGCATGAAATCGCGTAAATCGCGAGGGCTAGACATAGTTATATCTCACCGGAAACTCCGACATGCAATCAACCTTCTCAGTGGATTGTTTCAGACAACATGCTCACTGCTGTTTAAGTTTTTTCTTTTTCTACGCTTTGGCCTTGATCCAAGACGGCCTTCTTAAACCGACTTTTCCAACTTTCAAACTGGCATTTTGGAGCAGTGTGAGCATTATGGGGCATTATATCCTCATATTATGAGCATTGCCTTTAGCATTATCGCAGCAAATAACTTGCATCACCCACCCATGCCTACCAAGAACAGAAACATTGGCAAAACTAATTCGCAGTTACCCTTTGGTGTGGCATCATCGATTTAGTATGGACACCACCCGATTGCTTGACGTGAAAGGTAGCGAGGTACGCGGACATCTCTTACACCTGAAACGAAAAGATTTGGCGGGTAGTGAGCAAAAAATTAAGTGACGGTCCCTTTAGTCCTAGTACCCTTGGTAACGCTGGTAACCCTGGTCTACGTCATTGTATCAGATTCTCTTGTCATATGCATTGTACGTGTGATGTACATGTAAATCCATCTCGAGCCTAGTATCAGTATCAGATGCTAGGCTGAAAATGGTGGTAAGGGGCAGCATGCAGTGATCATGGCTGCAACCAGGGAGTAGTATTGTACTACTCCCTGGCTGCAACAGACACAGGGGCCAGAGAAGAGTACAGCAATGATAGCCGGGAACATCAACAATGCCGTCACACAGTGATTGAGTGTTTTTAAAATAGTAAAGCGTTGCAATTAGAATTGGAGGTGGATGGGTGAAGACATGGTGGTGATAACAGCAGTCTCAGCTGCTGGGACACCAAAGGGAGGTGGATGGGTGAAGACATGGTGGTGATAACAGCAGTCTCAGCTGCTGGGACACCAAAGGGAGGTGGATGGGTGAAGACATGGTGGTGATAACAGCAGTCTCAGCTGCTGGGACACCAAAGGGAGGTGGATGGGTGAAGACATGGTGGTGATAACAGCAGTCTCAGCTGCTGGGACACCAAAGGGAGGTGGTCAACAATTTAAAAACACAAACAAAACATACTCAAATCTCAGACAGCCAGCTGTTTCCACCTTGTTATATCTCATCAGCAGTGAGCCGATGACAGCAAAAAGAGTAAGGCATTGTCATAATTATGTATTTATTAGCATAGAATAGAGAAATTCCCAGCCTATTTCAACGCATTCACCGCTTTCTACTACTAAGTTCTGGTAAGATCTTCAGTCTTGAATTTGGATACAAAAATCAAGTCTGCAAAGATATAGATAGGTTAGGCTTCTATGAAATCAATGTGGATTGGCTCAACGCACAGAGACATGGTGATCTCAATATGGTTAGTCAAGTTTCAGTAAAGGCTAACGCGAGCGTGTCTTGAAATTAATATTCTTACTACATTAATGGTGGGAATGAGAGGAGCTTCAAAAACTTCCCTGATTGTCTGACATGGATTGAAAAGTGATAATTTATTATTTTCAAAATTTACTAGCGGCAATTCAAAGTAAATAGCATGTGAGCTTTAAGTGTACTTCAAGACATTAGAAACATCACTGCTATGTGTAAATTCATGATGAAGGAAAATGACAAGGTCTGATCACAGCAACACAGGCCAACTGGCAATGAAAACACACAGCGCCCATGATGCCTAGGATGAACGCTCCGGTCACAAGACATCAGGCTCCACGACGCTGCCCGGAGGGCGGCCAGGCTGCTAATCCGATCTGGCCGAGGCACTGAGCGGCTGGGGGTCGGAGAGCAGACGCTTGCCCCCCCCCCCCCTGCCATCTCTGGACAAGGCCTCATTTCCTGCTTATTGTTTCAAGTACTTGGCATTCCTGGCAAACAAACACAATACAGGTCAAACAGCGGCAGAGTGAACTTCTCATTGTCATGGTACAGTGCACAATGGATGAGCAGAGACCCGGACGAAAGACAGAGACGGAGCACAGCAAGACACACACACGTTTCTAATAGAACTAGGCTAACTTTTCTTGTAGCTCAACAGTTCACTTGTGAATGTAAAATGGTAAAATGGCTAATTATAACGTCAGTACCGTAAGTCCATGTCATGCAATGTTATCGCATGAGCTGATTGTTTTGTGACTGGTGGTGTTAGTGGACATTATAGCGTAACTCGTAGTTCCTTGGTCCATTTATAAGTAGTGTTTTGGCTAAAGTTTTGCCGCGTCAATTGAAATTTAGCAGGTACTACTGTACAGTAGTAGTCATCTTCTTTTTCTTAAAACTCTGAAACTCGGGTCACTAACATATTTCATTGTCAATTGGTCCTGATTCAGAGAATGCTAATTTCTTTACCCGTTAAAAACTATACGTTCTACGGTATTAGGCCAATTATCAGATGTTTTGATTGGCAAGTATTTAGCAACTTAGCTTGAACATAGCAAGATCTGTGGTTCAGTGAACAACAATCCCCCCACCACCCCAAACCCAAACCAACCCACCACAACCCGAAGGTGCAGAGACCACTGATACCCGTATACACACGTACCCTTTACATACAGGTGATCATTTTTACCATTAATGGATCTTTATACACAAGTGGTCTTAAGGCCGCCGCGGTCACACCCAAACAAGCCACTTTGGGCTTGTTATCGCTGGCGCTCAGCTGGCTTGTGTGCTCCCTGTCGAGCGGTCACAACAGACATCGAGTGCAAAGCTTGAATGGCTTGTTTTTTTTGCCTGCCAAATTTTGATATCTCGAAACGCACCAACGTTCTCAAGCACACAGGTGATCTTTATAGTTTATACATAGGTAATCTTTGTACATACATGAAGGTGATCATTATACATAGGTGATCTTTACACACTGTTGTGAATTCCAGCAGAAATCCAAGAGAGCTCGATACCGGGAAGGTAGAGCCGTGACACACTAGTCAGAACAACAGATGGCTTGATCAGTCACAACTTAAAAGTTTCATGCCATCTCAGGCACTCATCAGGTGATCTTTATAAATACATCAAGGTGGTCATTATACATAGGGGGTCTTTATTCGAAGGGGGTCTTTATTCGAAGGGGGTCTTTATACGAACGGGGTCTTTATTCGAAGGGGGTCTTTATTTAAAACACAGGTGATATTTATACACAGGTGTGCTGAAACCATGGTAACATGATCTGATGCCTGGACCTTCTTCCACTGCAAATCACTAAACTATCCCCACCACTCTCGCCTCAGACCTCAGACATGCCCATCGTGGAAGCGATGATAGCGAACAGCTATATTAGACATAGAAACTTGTGCTGGGATTACATCATTCAACAGCTTGCAAGGCTGATGAAGTGACCGCCACTATTTTTAGCCTGATATCCACCACACAGCTGTTTGAAGTGACTTTTTCTGGCCAGTGAATCCCTATTTTTCATTTTTCCATTTTTTTCTACACACACACACCACATCACATACTGCTGCATACACTGGCTGTTGGTAACCATGGTAACCACTCAGGACAATGAAAGAAAAGTCAGGAAGAGTCCGAGAAAGGCAAGAAAGACGTGTGCGACCATAATCGTCGGGAATTGAACCCGCAACCTCTCGATTGGAAATCGACTGCACATACCACTGCACCATATGGGACACACACACACACACACACACTTGCACACACACACACACACACACACACACACACACTTGCACACACACATGCACACACACACACACACACACACACACACACACACACTTGCACACACACACACACACACACACACACACACACTAAACTATCCCCGGCACTCCCCCCCCCCCCCCCCCCACACACACACACAGCCTGCAACTCACTTGATTGCTGTGAAAAGATGGCGCCGGCTATGCTTGGCATTATCAGCCAGCAGGTTAAACAGCTCTTGGACGGTTGTGCTCGGACGTTGCATCAGATACAGCAAGATACAGAAGAGGTTGTTCTCTCCTTTGCCTGGGCCTCCGATGTTGCCTTTCTTCATTTCGTGAAACGACTTTAGCACGTTGCGGTAGTAGTTTGTGTATTCTGGAGCCACTAGCTGCACAGCCGCCTTACCGCAGTTTGCTACAACATCACCAGAAGAAAGGGCAGAAAAGAACAATGACACTGTTTTTGATCTGCTGACTTTTCACACTTCTAGCCTGATGTTTATCTCCCTCACTTCTTTGCCCATAGAATTGCTGTCTTAGTTATTTTTGCTTTGCTGCATGCAAGAGACCATGAAGAGAAGCGAACGAAAACGTTCGTTTCTAAAAATTCCCTAGTGTTCATTTGGACGGTGTGGATTGTGTGGATGCATGTGCTACACTGAAGAACAACCAGCTTCATTTAAAAGAACAATGAGCTTCATTTAACACGAAAGCGTGGTAGCGACCTTGGTGATAATTGTATAAGAAAGTGAGTTGCTCCCACACTGAAACAGTCAACCGTGAGTCAGTCACGGGTCAAGTCAGGTCGACGGCAATAGCGCTGCAGTGTGGGAGCAACCAACTTCTACACAGCTTCATTTAACGTAAACATTTTAACCCTTTACCGGCAAGTGTATTTTGTATATGAAATCCATAAGATTGAGAAGGATGCCAATAACTCACAACGAGGCCACATGTTGTATGTGCAAGTTATGTTTTCTTGGAAGTCTGGTACTACTTCTTGACCATGGAAAAAATTATTTTCACATACCACACACATACGCTGCTAAATTGGCATCTATACGTCTAAACAGGGAAATTGTACATAATGCAAATCGTCAGATTCCGACATTAATATGATACTGCCAAAACAAGTCGACTTCGGAGCGGAAACGAACGCCATAGCCATCACAGACTTCAGTGGCCGTGCCTCGCTCACAATTGAGAGCAGCATCACCCCAAAATCGCTGTCCGATGGCTCCGTAAGGTCGCGCTTAAGTCGCGCTGCGCTGCCGTCACTCAGGTAGGTAGAAAGTCGATGGCCTAAAATTCCGTCTCTGGGAGACTGTCGACACGGGGATCACTCTCCATGGCTTCCCCATCATAAGCACCATCAGATTCTTCCAGGTGCATCACCCGATATTTGCGTGGGAATTTACTTGGCGTGAGCTCCACTCCGCAATTTGAAATTCGCTTGCATCGGTGGCTCAGTGGAACGAAGTATTTATCTATCTGTCGTGGGTCCTAGAGTGAAGGTTGTAGTGGATGCACATCCCACTGTTTGTCATTGTGTCCTTTTATGTAACATGTATGCATTCATCCGGCCGCGCTGTGCGACATGCCAGTTGTACCGTACGCACTTTAGCTGTACTTGCCTGCCTGGCTTTTCCTTTGATCTCTCTGTCGTTCTCTGTATTCCCACACACTTGTGATTTGTAGTAACGAAGCTAGTTACAAGATGTCTTTGGTGCGTTTGTAGAACCACTACATGGTGTCAGAATTGGTTTTCCTGTAGTCTTTGGCCTCGTGAGCGGTGATGGCTCGTTTCAACCCTCCAGCGCCTTTCGACTTCAGCTCACCGGACCAGTGGCCCGCGTGGAAACTCCGTTTCACCCGTTTTCGTGCCGCCACCAAACTGAGCTCCGACCCGGGAGAAACTCAGGTGGCCACTTTGTTGTATGCTCTCGGACCCAACGCCGACTCCTTGTTCGAGTACCAACTCGGACTATCCGAGGACGACAAGAAGAAATATGACGAGGTCGTCAGTGCTTTCGACACGTACTTCCGCCCCTCTACCAATGTTGTTCATGAACGGGCTAAATTTGAACAGCTTGTACAACAACCCGGCCAGACCGTAGAGGAGTTTGTCCGTGCTCTGTACAAAGCCGCAGAGTATTGTGAGTTTGCTGGCACGAAGGATGAGCGTATCAGAGACCGCTTCGTCGCCCACATGCTGGACAAGCGGGTGAGTCGGGAGCTGCAGATGAAAGACAAGAGCGAGCAAACTCTCGCCAAAGTTGTTGCGTTCGCACGGCACGCCGAAACTGTCCAGCAACAGGTTGCAGCCCAATCGCGCAGTGGCTTGGCCGCCGCCAGCTCGATTTCAGACGATGATGCCTCAGCCTCAGCTGTCCAGTCGCACCGTGGTGGTCGATCTATGCCGAAGAGCAGACCGCATGGTAGCTACAAATCTGCAGCAACGCCGCCTGCGACCGAATCGAAGTGCCCGAACTGTGGTGGAAGCCACCACTCGCAACGCGATCAGTGCCCAGCCAGAGGCCAGTGCTGCAAAGCCTGTGGCAAGCGCAACCACTTCGCGCGAGTTTGCCGATCGAAACCGTCCACCTCTGCCGTCACGAACGACTCTCCGGACTCTCTATTTGTTGGCCACACGACGTGCGCACAAAGTGTAAGTGATTCACCCTGGTTGGCAGATCTAGCTATCGGAAAGAGTGTAGTCCAGTTCAAGCTAGATACTGGAGCTGATGTCTCTACCATGTCCGTGCAATCATACAATACACTGCAGCCCAAGCCGTCCTTATCTGCTACTAGTGCCCAGCTGAGAGGAGCGAATGACCAGACTATGCAGGTCCTGGGTGTATTTGAGGCTCACTGCTCCTTTCAATCTCAGTCCACTACCATACCCATCTTTGTTCTAGATGGTGCCAGCACTAGCCTGCTCAGCCGATCTGCGTGCACAGCACTGGGTCTAGTCCAGCGTCTGGCTGAAGTGCAAGGTCCAGTCCCACTCGTACAGTGTATGGTTGGTCCTGCTGCGCAGATTCACTTGACTTCCGACGCCACACCGTATCACTGCCTCACAGCTCGCAGAGTTCCTCATCACCTGTATTCGAAAGTACGTGAAGAACTGCACCGCATGGAAGATGGCGACATCATTGCGCGTGTCGACGAACCCACAGACTGGTGTTCGCCTATGGTGCCCGTCCTCAAACCTAACGGCAAGGTACGCATCTGTGTCGACCTGAAGCGTCTTAATGCGTCTGTCAAGCGGGAGACATTTCAGCTGCCAACGTTAGAAGATGCCCTGTCTTCACTGGCCGGAGCGACTGTGTTCACGACATTGGACACTGCTAACGGATTCTGGCAAGTCCCACTCAGTCCCGACTCTGCCCGTTTGACCACCTTCATCACGCCGTTCGGCAGGTTCTACTTCAAGCGACTGCCATTCGGCATCACATCAGCACCTGAGATTTTCCAGAAGCGTCTCACCAACCTTCTGGACCAGCTCCCCGGCGTGTTCGTCTACATGGACGATATCATTGTCTCTGGCCGTACGCGAGAAGAACACGACCGTAACCTAGCTGCCGTACTAGACATCCTGCAGAAAGCCAACGTCACGCTGAACATGACGAAATGTCACAAGCGTCAGGCCGAAGTGAAGTTCCTTGGTCACATCTTCTCCGCCAAAGGTCTCCACCCTGACCCAGCGAGAGTGTCCAGCGTCGCTAATCTGAAGCCGCCCAAGAACGTCACGGAACTGAAGCGCATTCTCGGCATGTTCGCGTTCATGTCACGCTTCATTCCCAATCTCTCGGAAGTCAGCGCTCCACTGCGTCTTCTACTGGGGCATGACACCGCATGGGAGTGGTCTGCTACACAACAACAGGCCCTGGACAAGCTCAAACAGCTTGCCACCAATGCGCCCTGCCTCACGTTCTTCGACCCAACCAAGCCCACGGTCATCAGCGCTGATGCCAGCAGTTACGGCTTGGGAGCTGTCCTATTGCAGGAGCATGACGACGGAATGCGCCCCATTGCATTTGCCTCACGCAGCCTCACCACTACTGAGCAACAGTACGCGCAGATCGAGAAGGAGTGCTTGGCTGTTGTCTGGGCTTGTGAGCGATTCCACGGCTACATTTACGGCAACTCGTCCCTCACTGTCCAGACGGATCACAAACCACTCATCCCGCTGATCAATACGCGTGATTTGAACCGTGTCCCGATGCGATGTCAACGCCTCCTGATGCGCCTGCTCACGTACAATCCAGCCGCCGTGTATGTCCCTGGCAAAGAGCTAGTTGTTGCCGATGCTCTGTCTCGCGCTCCGCTCGCCTGTGACGACACGCCTAGTCTCCAAGACGAGATCAGCATCAACCTCGCATCTTACATCGGCGAGATCGTGTCGGATGGTAAAGCCCGTGACATTGCTGACGCCACCACACAAGATGAGACGCTCAAGCAAGTCCTCCACTTCGTCCAACACGGATGGCCGTGCAACCCACGTGATGTCGACGACACTGTGCGCCCATACTTCCATGAACGCCAGTTACTGTCCTGTGAGCAAGGTGTGCTGTACCATGGCTTCCGCATTGTCATGCCACCCTCTCTGCAGCCTGAGATGCTCGAGAAGCTCCACGAGGGACATCAAGGTGCAACGAAGTGCAAGTCTCGCGCCCGCCATTCCATTTGGTGGCCAGGCTTGTCAAGGCAAATCGACACGATGGTCGCTACGTGTGAAGTGTGCACCAAACACCGCGTCCAGTCGACCGAACCACTGCAACCCGTCCAACGCCCAACACTGCCGTGGCACACGGTTGGTGCAGATCTGATGGAATTCAACGGCACGACTTACCTCGTCATTGTTGACTATCTCTCGCGTTACCTCGATGTCGTACCGCTGACTGCCACAACCTCGATTGCTGTCATCAAGCATCTGCACCGCATCTGTGCCGAGCATGGTTTCCCGTCCACCTTGGTTACAGATAACGGTCCTCAGTTTGCCAGCGAAGCGTTTACTGAGTTCTGCACAGCAAACGACATCACCCATCGCACTTCCAGTCCACGGTATCCTCAGTCGAATGGCGAAGCGGAACGTGCAGTTCGCACCGCCAAGAATCTCCTGCGGAAGGCCGAAAGCCTGCAAGATGCACTCTTGGCTTACCGCACGACACCGCTGAGCAACGGCTATGCCCCATGTCAGCTGTTGTATGGCCGCCAGCTCCGTACCGGTCTACCTGCAACGACTGAACAGCTGGAACCGAAATGGCCTGATCTCCCTAGTATTCTGGAATCGGAAAATCAGTCCCAGGAACAGCAGAAGTTGCACTACGACCAACGGCATGCAGCTAAGCCTCTCGCGACTCTACAGCTTCATGACCGTGTATTCATCACCGATCTCGAACGGGAGGGCAAGATAGTAGAGCAAGTGTCCAATCGTTCTTACCTCGTTGAGTCTGGTCACTCTACTGTTCGCCGCAATCGTCGTCACTTGATCCGACTGCCACTGCTAGAAGCAGAGAAGCCGACAGTCGAGGTTGAGTACGGTGGCACAGCAGCTGATCCAGTCCGTCGCTCTGCTAGAGCTCCTCAGCCTGTCAACCGCCTCATTGAATCATGCTAATTCAGCAACGTGCCGAGACGTATCTGCCGTCGTCTCTGCACATCACTCTTTCACTGCAACTTGCTCTACAAGCAATACCTACATTATCGAATAGTCTTTGGACTCCTCATCTTCTCTATTATAGCCTGTTTAATCTCAGAGGGGAGATGTAGTGGATGCACATCCCACTGTTTGTCATTGTGTCCTTTTATGTAACATGTATGCATTCATCCGGCCGCGCTGTGCGACATGCCAGTTGTACCGTACGCACTTTAGCTGTACTTGCCTGCCTGGCTTTTCCTTTGATCTCTCTGTCGTTCTCTGTATTCCCACACACTTGTGATTTGTAGTAACGAAGCTAGTTACAAGATGTCTTTGGTGCGTTTGTAGAACCACTACAAAGGTCTGCTAAGTCCTCGTCGGAGAAGTCATCTGAGGATGAAAGGAACTCACTACGAAAGAGGAAATGCACCTGACGACGTTTTGACGGAGGCAGACGGCATTGTCGGTGCGCGTGTATTTCTGTAAGTTTTCGATCACGCAGTTCTCAATGAAATCAAATGGGACACGCGTAGATTCTCTTCAGCTATGGATAGAATCATACCTAGGCTGTGTGAGGGCCACGGGAAATCCCCGTGGGCTGATGCTTCCTGTCATACCAGGTATGGTTTTAGCATGCATGTCATATGCGTCGTTTACGACTCATTCAAGTATGGTGCTGCCGGTAAAGGGTTAAATGATTGCGAAGGTGAGCTTAGCCGTTCCCCAGTCATGATCGGCAGAGGTAGAACACCAGTTCACACAACAAGTTGACAACAACCTGCATCAAGAAGTGAAGTCGACTTGGTTACGTATGCCCATTGCAGCTGATGCTGCACTTGATGGGTTGCCAAGGCAAGCCGTGGCAATAAAAACAATAAAATACTCAGGAGTCAGTACCACTCTTAGGGGACATGACTTCAATAGGAACACTGGTTAAAAAACAATGTACAAGGACATCACCTCCTCATCAAAGTCTACACATACACGTGCATACAGTGACAAGAGGGTATTGCAAAACAATTCAAGCAGCTCAGGGGAACTCACTGGCTCTGAAAATAATTTCATCTGGTTGAACCACAGCATTATTTGGATGTCACTGTGAATGTTCAAATACAAAGGAAATTTAGGCCACCAGCCTCACGCTCATTTTCTCCGAAAATCGCCTGGAACGAACAGCTCCTACACTCCCAGAGAATAAGGTTGACCCTAGAACTACTTCAAACTACGTTTACTCATAATTCGCTACATACACACGGCTAAAACTCTGCCGTGTCCTTGCTGGAGAAAATATATTCACCACCCGGCATTATTGAAATACACATGAATCACGGTGTCCAAAAGCAACCAACCTCTCTCGTCGCCTTCCTCCTCTCCACCGATGAACGGTTCAATCGAGCTAACAAACGCATGCCAGTCGGCAATCTGATCGAGTGTCTTTCCACTGCAGCGCAGAGTGGTATACAGAACAAAACAGCACGAAAAAAGAAAATAGAAACAGGTCCACGTTCTAGGTAGGGCCGTAACAGAAGAGCCTCCCTCGGTGGACAGTAGAGCCTCCCTCAGTGGACATGAGAGCCTCCCTCAGTGGACAGGAGAGCCCCTCCCTCCAATGGACACGGTAGAGCGCGCAACCCCCCCCCCCCCCCCCCCCCCCGTGGATAGTAGAGTGCCTGCCCCCCCCCGTGGACAGTAAAGCATTAAAATGCGACGCAGCATTATGTGCTGAAAAGACACCCTCACTTAATGTGCAGACAGTGTGTTGTCAGTGTTTCCATTACCCTGAACGCTTCGTTAATGAAAGCGGCTGATTGGTCAGCTCCAAAGCAACGTATTTGACCTATTTTTTATAAACCTGCGAGGATAGCCTTCACTAACCCAATGGCACCAAGTGACATGAATTCAGCGTCGTGACCATCGCTTCCACCAGCGCTGTGATGACCGCTTCCACGAGCACCGTGACCACCGCTTCTACTGTCCACACTGGCACAGGCTTCTGCTGCAAGGCAACAGACGGCGTGCCATTGGAGTGGCCAAGAGACATGCACACGCACGCACACACACACACACACACACACGCACACACACACATGCAGATGCAGCGAATACATGTACACACACACACACACACACGTGGGCACGCACACACGGTTTGTTGCAGAAGTTTATTGTCGCCACTGAAACGAACATGGTTCATTTCATACTCGGACGGACCCCTCACTCCTCCAAAATGAACAAAGTTTGTTGGCCAAGTTACGATTTTCGACCCACCGGTTCCACGGACGATGTTCGCTTCAGGGCGACAAAATATGACAGCGACCCCATAGCAATTCTATGACGTATCGGCTGTGTTTACAGCCATTTCCACTAAGAAATAGGCCCTGAGGGCATTTATGAGAAAAACCTTTTTCCCGACAAAGATCTAGCTAGTCATTAGTCCTATTCAAAGTGGTGGCGCTGGAAAAGTGACTGTCTGCCATCAATTATTGTGCTAAATTGGTCAAATGTGTATCTAAAATACACTATGAACACCCAGTCAGGTACATACCTGTAGTCGCTGCTGCTGCTGCTGCAGGTGCTGCTGCTGGAGGTGCTACTGGTGATGCTGCTGCTGAAAGTGCTACTGCAGCAAGGACTGCTGCTGCTACCAGTGCTGCTGCTATTGGAGATGCTACTGATGCTGCTGCTGCTGCTAACAGTGATGCTACTAGTAATGCCACAGCCGGTGATGCTATTAGTGACGCTACCACTGAGCCTGAAGCTGCTGAGGTGGCTACTGGCTGTGATGCTGCTACTGAGCCTGAAGCTGCTGAGGTGGCTACTGGCTGAGATGCTGCTACTGCGCCTGCCACTGCTGAGGTGGCTACTGGCTGTGATGCTGCTACTGAGCCTGTCACTGCTGAGGTGGCTACTGGCTGTGATGCTGCTACTGAGCCTGCCACTGCTGAGGTGGCTACTGGCTGTGATGCTACTACTGAGCCTGTCACTGCTGAGGTGGCTACTGCCTGTGATGCTGCTACTGAGCCTGTCACTGCTGAGGTGGCTACTGGCTGTGATGCTGCTACTGAGCCTGCCACTGCTGAGGTGGCTACTGGCTGTGATGCTGCTACTGAGCCTGCCACTGCTGAGGTGGCTACTGGCTGTGATGCTGCTACTGAGCCTGTCACTGCTGAGGTGGCTACTGGCTGTGATGCTGCTACTGAGCCTGCCACTGCTGAGGTGGCTACTAGCTGTGAAGCTGTTACTGAGCCTGTCACTGCTGAGGTGGCTACTGGCTGTGATGCTGCTACTGAGCCTGTCGCTGCTGAGGTGGCTACTGGCTGTGATGCTGCTACTGAGCCTGCCACTGCTGAGGTGGCTACTGGCTGTGATGCTGCTACTGAGCCTGCCACTGCTGAGGTGGCTACTGGCTGTGATGCTGCTACTGAGCCTGTCACTGCTGAGGTGGCTACTGGCTGTGATGCTGTTACTGAGCCTGTCACTGCTGAGGTGGCTACTGGCTGTGATGCTGCTACTGAGCCTGTCCCTGCTGAGGTGGCTACTGGCTGTGATGCTGCTACTGAGCCTGTCACTGCTGAGGTGGCTACTGGCTGTGATGCTGCTACTGAGCCTGTCACTGCTGAGGTGGCTACTGGCTGTGATGCTACTACTGAGCCTGCCACTGCTGAGGTGGCTACTGGCTGTGATGCTGCTACTGAGCCTGTCACTGCTGAAGTGGCTACTGCCTGTGATGCTGCTACTAAGCCTGAAGCTGCTGAGGTGGCTACTGGCTGTGATGCTGTTACTGAGCCTGTCACTGCTGAGGTGGCTACTGGCTGTGATGCTACAACTGAGCCTGTCGCTGCTGAGGTGGCTACTGGCTGTGATGCTGCTACTGAGCCTGCCGCTGCTGAGGTGGCTACTGGCTGTGATGCTGCTACTGAGCCTATCGCTGCTGCGGTGGCTTCTGGCTGTGATGCTGCTACTGAGCCTGTCACTGCTGAGGTGGCTACTGGCTGTGATGCTACTACTGAGCCTGTCACAGCTGAGGTGGCTACTGGCTGTGATGCTGCTACTGAGCCTGTCACTGCTGAGGTGGCTACTGGCTGTGATGCTACTGGGCAGAGTGTTCCTTCTGATGCTGGTAAATGAGGATTGCCAGAAGAGGGATTTTCTGATCGAACAAAGGTGTAGAAAAATGGGTTACGGCATCAGGGTATCCGTCCCAGGATCCAACTGCAGTTACCCCAGCTCCCAGTGAAGGTAATACTTGCTACTAGTATGGGTGGCCAAATCAGATTGAATCTGATATAAGCTTCAATAGAACCATCAGGAGCACAGCAGCCCCCCCCCTTTTAGGGGGTGGGGGAGGGAAGGAGGGGGGGGGGGGGCATGGCTGCATAATATGTGTAGGATGGCTGGTGCATGTCATTCATAGTCATTATGTGCATGCTGAACCTAGGTCAAACTTATTAGGGGGGGGGGGGGGGGGGGGGGGGCACGCACCCACTGTGCCCCAGTGCGTGCTACGTGCCTGACCATTGATTACACAAGAGTTAATCTAGCCAGAAGCATGGTGAACAGGTATGTATACCTCAAATAGAAAGTAGAATTATAGACCCTGAATTCAACAAAGGTGGCAGGTACAACAACACAACTCCAAGTAGCCGACCCCCCCCCCCCCCCCCCCCCCACAAACACAGACAGACAGACACAAAGCTGGATGTAGTCGAACCTTAAATGCAGGTGCAGCATATGCATACACACACACGTAGGCATGCAAACACGGTACCAGAGTACCAGATCTGTTTGTATTGTGCATCCAACTAACCTGAAGGAAGAGAGGCCGATCTCGGGTCAAACAGCTTTCCACATGCATCCTGTAGGTATTGCAAGAGACCAAGTACACGCAAGCACATGCCCACGGCCACACGCACACACACTCACGCATACACACACACACACACACACACACACACATGCGCGCACACGCCCACCCGCACGCACACACACACATACATGTAAATACACACGAGCAAAAGCACACATGCATGCAAACACGCACACACACAAGCCATAATCGCTGAAGTCAGAGTAGGCTCAAAATGGTTATCTCCTCATTAACATGACGGGAATACGTGGCAAGTTTTATGAAAATAGAGACATGGTGCAACTTTGTGTGTGAAGAATTCTCGTCCTGAACAGAGATAAACAGAATTACAACAAGGCCTGGTGCAACTTGTCTCATGGTTCGTGCCCCCCCCCCCCCCCCCACAAAAACATATGAACTAAAGCTAGCGACAGGTGCTACTAACGTAACGTCTTTTGCATAGCTGCGGGAATTCAATCAGGTCAAGTTTCTCACCTGGTCAAGGCCCAGCCAGAACATGGCCTGCTCACGGATCATCTGTATATCCGGATTTGAACGTGTACACAGTGGGTAGTCTTCAGCCACTAGGGTGGAAGCGTCCAAGGCGTGCGCACAGCTTGGCGCGCGGCACGTAGATAAGCCATGCTGTAAACACTCCTCGCCCGATGTTTCTCCGCAGGGGCATGGCAGGGTGCTGATCACTTCGACCTGCAGGCCCCACTTCCGTACCACTGTGAGCACGATTGCCCGGACTTCATCCAGCGTAGACTTTCCGCTGCCGCCGTGTCGGCCCTTGCACTCGACGTACACTTGTAAGCCATAGCGTGTATAGTGCAGGTGCAGCCACGGCCAATCTCTGTTCCAGCGAAGGCGAACGCTGCACCGTGACAGTGTGGCAGACGAGCGCTTGTGTGACTTAAGCAGCACCTCCACCACGCATTGCCAATACAGGAACACGGGAAAGCGCATCAACTCATCGCAGTTTGCGTGCTTCAAGGACACGAAGACACAGGAACAAGGCGTCTGCGGGACCGTGCCCATGTCCTGGACGACTGCAGGTACAATAAACTCGTGCTCAGCAGACCTCTCATCCTGCACAATTACCAGGACTGAGAGCCATTCTAAGATTTCAAAAATGAGCTTGAACCCATCACTGCTTGCTCTGACTGCTTGCCACGCCTTTGCATGGTCGCAGTAAGACTGACCCTCGAACATCTTGTTGAGAGCTTTGCGTGCCAGGGACTCTGTCATGAACCCAGAACGATAGCGCCGCGCTTCGTTCACTGTGATGTCTCGGTCAGGCTTCATGTAGACAAAGGCATTGACACAGTCCAGGATGAACTGGGGCTCCAGGATGACCGTGTCTTTCAGCTTGAAAGTTGGGAAGTACGCCAGGTGGCCTGCTTCGTGGCAGTACTTCAGCAGCTGCTGTACTTGCCGGTCACTGTAGTCATGTGGAACAGCCTTGACTTGCTTTGCTATGAACTTTGCCTCCTTGAAGGAAATCCAAGGCCACGAGACCTCCTGCTTGAGCGTGTGTATGGATATGCAGAATCGGAGCCATGGAACAGGGATGTTACGTTGGCTCTTCTGGCAGCGGTCGACGATGGCCTCTCTCAATCGCTGTAGCTCATCTGCTTGCGCTGCACTTCCAGTGGATCTGGTGTTGTCAATTTTAAAATGCGAAGTTTCGTTCCAGACAAGGTTCTGGTACGGGGTACCTTTTATCTTCTCTTGAAGTAGCTTACAAGGATCAGGCAAATCGGTTTTGTTCCACCTGTCACTCTGACACCCCACTACAAACACATCATCTGCAGCACTCTGGTCTGTGCTGCTGTCAGCTTTTGTATTCAGCAGCAGCATGTCGAGCCAGCCGAGCAGCTGGTCTAGGCGAGTCGCGTTGGCCGGTAGAGTGGCCCGCTCGATACATTCTTCCCGGCTGACCTGAAATTCGTCAAGCTTGGGAAGGGTCTCTAGAAGGTCCAGAGAAGAGTTGTATGTGGCAATGAAGGTTGTGTTTTTGGCCATGAAGAGGGGCTGCACGGATTGGTAGACTTGCTGCCCTCCAAGGTCGCGGAATGTGATGACAGTATAGTCGGGCGTGTTGGCCCGGTCAGAGATGTACTTTACCCGGTCTGCGTTGAGAAATCCTGTGATGGTCTTGTGGATTTCCTCGCGCATTGCTGGTTTGTCGCTGCTGCTGCTGCTGCTACTGCTGTCCTCCATAGGTCCTGCATGGGTCCCAGCCACAGGATCCTCTCCTGCAGTGGCTCTCTCTCTGTCATCTTGTGTTGTCTCTTTGTCTTGGGGATGATTCGAAGTGGATGGTTTGCACATCATGGTGATGACGTAGAGTCGACTCAGAGCATCTGGCATGTCTGGGCATTCGATGAATCGACAGTCATCAGAGATGTTTGTAGTTGTGTAGGACGTGCGCATTCCGGGCGTGCTGAGTTCATTCTCATTGTGCATCTTCTCAAGCAACGCCTTCAGCAAGCTGGTCTTTCCAACGCGTGCCGCACCAAGTATTGCCACGTGCAGGAAATGTATGACGGTCGTACCGCCCAACCGGGCTGCCTCCTGCTCTGCTGCTTCGAGCTCACTGATACTTGGCAGAACAGCAGTATCTCCTGGGCACAACGATAAGCACAGCACACATCAAAAAATGTTGTAACTGCAGGTGACATTTACAGTTTGTTGTTTCTTTTGTATTACTAACAAGAAATCATACAGTACAGGCAACAGGAATGCAAAACAAGTGAGACAGGGTTCGCAGCCAACCAAGCACACAAAATTCCAAACTTTTTCCAAACATTTTCCAAACCAATTTCAAGAATTTCCAAACCCACTCGTGCAGGAAAAATAAATTATAAATCTCTTCTGCACGACTGTCTTCTCCACTACGAGTACAACCAGGGAGTAGTAAAATCCTCCCTGGTACTACCATCAACAAATTCACCAAGATGCATTGCGATGATATCGCCTTCAGCAGCTGGAGCCCCTGAAAATAGCAGGGGAATTCATACGACGAGAGTTTCCCTCCGTAAGTTCAAATCCGCCTCCAGAGGTGGTTCCAATGAAACATTTACATAGCTGGTGTCCATCTCAGCGCAAAAGACGGCTTCATCTTCGCCAGCAAACTCATCTGAGTGCGAAAGGACCTCGCCATCCTGCTGTCCCGACTTCAAAGAATCAAAGTGGAGCACGAGCGCCAGTAACAAAAAAAAACGGCCAAATAAAAGTCATCACCGGCCGCGCTTGAGCTGCACTGAAATGACTGTACGAGACTCGTACATGCAGTGAACACCACGCATCGCCAGCGCGTCTTCTATCGCGGCACTCAAAACCGCCACTTGCATGCAGTACTGCCAGCATGCAGTGCAGCACATCTGCGGCCAAAAAATCGAAATTCAAAACTTTTTCCAAACTTTTTCAAAAGGAGCGCCTTTTCAAAACTTTTTCCAGACCTGGAAAATTGAATTATAAAATCCAAACTTTTTCCAGACTTCCAAACTTCGCTGCGAACCCTGTGAGAGTGCATCCTCACTGCATGCACTCATATTATGAGAAAGCCCGCTTGACTCGCAATGTTACGGTGTGTCTGAAAGTCATTGCTTCTCGCACAATGACCACTCCATCACCAGAATATTGGCAGACAGGAGACACCTGTTATGGTGTTGCTGCAGTTGAGGCACTGGGTTTTAGAGTCCAGGGGCGTCACACATGGAACCACCAGTACCACCATGCTTGTACCACTTTTCGCACCGGATGCTGCGCCCAATTCATCCAAAAAACAAGCAATAAAAGAGCACTAAAATGTGCCCTGTTCACCCAATAATCACTATTTTCCAGTGTTGCAAAGAATAGCAAAATCACCAACGAATATTCTAACAAATATGCACAGTACGAACGAATATTCTACTTTTCTACCCATACAGACGAGCCCATTTCAGCACACTATGCTTCCTTGTTTATTTGAGCCAGCGCGTGCTAACACATGACCACAGCTTTTGTGGAAAAAGTCGAGAAAATCGCGATTTGAATTCCGCGACAAAAAAATGCAAAGTTCTCCTCGGTAGACTGGACTGTTCTGGATGTAACTCTTTGTTGCAAGTACATGAAAATATATTCGTTTCAGTTTGGAGTCTCCTAAAATGGATTGTCAACGATGTATCGAAGGAAGAGCCTAATATACTTCGGAGCGGAAGAAGACGACATCCTCGCGTTCCATGCGCAGGATGAACTATTTTGTGGACTTGCGTCGGAAACAGAAGTCTCAAGTCTCTCAAACTCTCCCACATGGAGCTAGCTTTACGATCCGACATCACGAATTTCTACTGACTCGAAACTAAGCAAAGCGGACTCATACGATTCGAAACTAACCAGGAACTGCTACAAACTACGAAGAAGAACATAAGTATTTCTTGCGAAGGTGCAAGCTACAAACGGCACGTAAGTCAAACTGGGCAGCAGCAGCGGCAAGCGACAATATGTTGACGATGTCGTTTGTTGCTCAATTGCAGTGACTGTTGCACATTCTGCGATGTAAGAACGCAGCGAGCGTGCTGCGATGAGCGAATTAAGCCACTGTACGGAAAGTTGTACACAAAGTGTAGCATTTCGAACATTCGACTTCTGACTCGCATGTTCGAATATTCTGTGCAGCGCAAAAATCGAAGATATTCAGTTATTCGAATATTCGCTGCAACACTGCTATTTTACCCTCGGGCTTTTTTGATGCCATTCAACGAAAAGTGTAGTGGATAGTCACTACTGGAGGGTTCATAAAGGCACATCTGTCTGTTGTGAAGTCGGGGGTTTGCCCCGTACATTGAATTTTGCATGGCAAGACAAATTCGGAAAATGCAAAATGTAACTGTTTCCCATGCCCCCTCCCCCTACTATTTTGACCTGGCTAGAACCTTGCCATCATATCTTCTTGCTAATGGTACTACTTGGGGACATACAGCTCTATTGCTTCCAACTGGACATTTGCTTCGTTAGTTGCTGCTCATCATGAGCAAGTTGCTGCTAGCGGCCTAGCATTGCTTGCCAGCTCTTCGATCTCTTGCATTACGAGACCAGTTACTCAAAGTAACACATTGTCTCCAAAGCCAGTCGTTGTTGCCCTGACTGAGTGTGAATATGTGAGGGATTGGATGCTAAATAGTATTCCAACCAGTGATGCACACTAACCCAGTTTTCAAGAACGAATACTCTATCAAATATCAAATCTTTCAACAAACGAATATTCTAGTATTCGTTGAAATTTGTTGACGGCCCAGAAACTTCCGCATTGCGTCTGCGCTTTTCGCCTGGGACACCTTCGCATTCGTGGCAGCTACAGCCGTCGAGCAAGTAACATGCCATCGGGGAAGATTTTCCCACATTGAGCTCGTAGTCGAGCCATTGAACTTGAGCTTCGTCTCGCAGAGTTTGCATTTAACTTTTGCGCCTCCATCAACTTTCTCGGAGTGCTCCTAAACGGAGCTGCTACGACCAGCTGTGCCAGAAGCCATCACAAAAAAACAAACTGGATGTCCAGAACGTTCTTCAAAGTGAAAGAGAGGGGTGAGTTGGACCGAACTAAAGTAGTAAAGAAGAAGGCATTATGGGTTCCCACTTCGCAACAGTACAGTGTGTGCACTGTACTCGTACAACTACACGTGCCCTTTGCAACTGTACTACAGTGCCGGCACTGTATTGTTACTACTACTAACTGTTTGGTGCACGCTCACACAGGCCGGATTCGGCAAGTACACGTACGGTAACCGCTGAACTGTAATCTGTAGCACACGGCTGTTTTTGTGTGCGATTTCACGCCACTTTACAATATGGCCGCCGAAAGTCTCGATCGGGCTTCAATGGCAAGAAAATTTGAATTTTCAAATCGCCAGAACACAAATAGGCCATGGTTTCCCGTGGATTTTGGTGACTGGTTAGCCCAGACAGCCTTGGGAACACACTAATCACGTGCGTCTTGTTTCAAGCTTTCCGCTCGTACCTCACATGCCTGCCTTTCCTTCAAGAAACATTAGTTCTGCGTCGTGCAACTTTCGCGTCACTCTGAAGAACTCCTTGTGTCGTCGCTGTCAAACTCGGCCCCGAGAAGCCTTTCCTGGATTTTTTCCAGGCTAGATTGCGATTTTCCCAGGTAGAGGACTATCCTCTGGTTGTCTTCCCTGAGTGTCGTTGTTGTTCGCGCATGAACTTCTGAGTTCGCGAGGCGGGTCAGGAACCTACTTTCTAATGATTCGGAAGACAAATGGCGTGGTCCTTTAGTTGCTGTTGAGTCTAGAAGGCTGCTTCCTGCTGTAAATTGCTTAGTTGGAATGTGGGATATTGTAGAAGAAGACAGCAGCCGGCCAAGTGAGCTGGAAATTGTGATATCTCTCCTATTATGCGTTGAACGAGTACGAAATGTCCAATTTGAATATTGTACACGCGCGCGCACGCCAAGCAGAGGCCGATAATCACAGGGCCGGTCAATCTCTGGACTACCAGGAGTAGTTTTGAGCAAGTTTGAAGCGGAAAGACAGTTAACTGGGCAGGCCAGGACGCCTTCCCACCCTTTTTCTCTCTCAAATTACCTAAAAGTCGAGTATCTCACTCAAGCGCTTTCAAAACTTTTTTCTTGGATTCGCTTCCCAAATCGTGAAACCTCGCGAGGCACGGCTGTTCACGTGCAGGCACTTATCAATATGGCGTCGTTCGGTGCGATTTATGTAATATTGTGCGAATAGTACAAATACGCGATGAGTTTGCGTTTTTGCAAGAAACTCATGTCGATCCTCGGGTGGTTCCACGATTTGGGACGCGAAACCAAGAGAAAAGTTTTGAAAGCGCTCGAGCGAGATACTCGACTTTTCGGCAATTTGAGAGAGAAAGAGGGTGGAAAGGCGTCCTGGCCTGCCCAGTTAGCTGTCTTTCCGCTTCAAACTTGCTCGAAGTACTCCTGGCAGTCTGGAGATTGATCTCGCCAGTGATTGTCAGCCTCTGCTTGGCGTGCTCGCGTGTACAACATTCAAGTTAGACATTTCGTAATCGTTCAACGCACAATAGGGTAGATATCACAATTTCAAGCTCACTTGGCTGGCTGCTGTCTTCTTCTACAATATCCCACATGCCGACTAAGCAATTTACAGCAGGAAGCAGCCTTCTACACTCAACAGCAACTAAAGGGCCACACCATTTTGTCTTCCATATCAAGAGAAAACAGGCTCCTGACTCGTCGCGCGTATTTAGAAGTTCACGCGCGTATTCTAATGACACTTGGGGAAGACAACCAGAGGATAGTCCTCTACCTGGGAAAAAATCGATCTAAGCTGGGAAAAAATCGGGAAGGGCTTCTCGGAGCCGAGTTTGTCAGCGACGACACAAGGAGTATTCCAGAACGAAGCCAAAGTCGCACGACACAGAACAAATGTTTCTTGAAGGAAAGGCAGTCATGTGAGGTACGAGCGGAAAGCTTGAAACAAGACGCAGATGATCAGCGTGTTCCCCGGGCTGTCCGGGCTGACTAGTCTCCAAAATCCAGTGGAAACCATGGCCTACTCGTGTTCTGACGATTTGAAAATTCAAATTTTCTTGCCATTGAAGCCCAATCGAGACTTTCGGCGGCCATATTGTTAAGTGGCGTGAAATCGCACAAAAAAACAGCCGTGGAGGAGCGACATGAGTTTCTTCCAAAAACGCAAACTCATCGCGTATTTGCACTATTCGTACAATGTTACATAAATCGCACGGAACGACGCCATATTTATAAATGCCTGTGCTGGCACAGCCGTGAGCAGCGGCCATAGCTCTACTGCCGTTAGCGCAGGGTCCACATGCACTCGTGCAAAACTAGCATGCATGCCGCACATAGAACATGATTGTGCAGCTCTTCAAACCAACTTTATTACTATTCGACTATTCGTGTGCATCACTGGTCATGACTTGTAACTTTTTGGCGGAAAAGAAGTTTGAGAATTGATTTGTCACTTACCTGCCTGCAGCTGCTTGGTCTCCTTCATAGAGAGTCAGAAAAAACAGAGGCACAAATCACAAATATGTGTTTAACATGCTCTCTCTCTCTCTCTCTCTCTCTCTCTCTCTCTCTCTCTCTCTCTCTCTCTCTCTCTCTCTCTCTCTCTCTCTCTCTCTCCTCCCTCCCTCCCTGTCTCTGTCTGTCTGTCTGTCTGTCTGTCTGTCTGTCTCTCTCTCTCTCTCTTAGTTCCGTATCGTATTTTCCGGAACATAAGCCGTAATATAAGCACTCGTAATCCCCTCAAAAATAAATGTCGGTGTGGCTTCTACTACCATGGTGAAATGAACTGTGATATACAGGATAGATGTTGGTTTTTCCTCACAAACATGACAGAACAAAAATGACAGGACAAAGATGACAGGACAAAGATGACAGGATAAAGATGAACCTAGAGGCGACGAGATGAACAAGGCACTCACGGCACAGGGTAAGCCCGAATTTTCTGGTTTCAGACCGTGTTATATTTTGAAAATACCAGGGGATTTCCCTTTAGCACGGGGCACGCCTGATGGGCATAAACAAAGTGCATGGACCTCAGCTTTTCAGAGCAGTAAGAATCGTGAAAATCGGTTGAGTTTGAGCAAGAAGCTGAAAAAATGCTAGATTGAGTTGTTGTGGCATTTCCAAGGCATGATAGGAGAGTTTGTAAAGGACATGGAAGTGGCCCTGATGAGCCTATCGAGCTGAGAGTTGTCAGGATGGATTTGTTTGAAATTGTGACATGCATTATACAGTATGACAGGATATACAGGCAGGAGCTGTATAGGCTGAATTTTAATGGGGCCGAAAAGGATTTTGGCCTGCGGATGCTGAAATTTAAAACGTGCTGATAATTTGTAGACTTACAGTATCCAGTGTCCAGTATCACAGTAGTAGATATCAAACTCAACTCACTTACTAAAGCCACAAGTCGCCAAGATACTCAAGACAAGATGCAAACTGGAATAATCCACTGGAGCTGGTTGTCGTCGCAGTGATTTCCAAGTGTCCATTGTACACAGCACGTCCAGCATAGTGCTTGCATTTAGCTCCAACTCTGGCAACAGAGCGACAGGCGAAGCCCTATCCATTTATCAACTGGGCCGTGCGGATACGACTTTGAGTTTGGCATGGGAGTGGCTACACATTTTCCCCTGTTACTAGTGGAGCAGTCATGCCGCGCCCATCATCATCATCATCCTAACCCCAGTTGTCGTTCAGGACCGTACGGGTTCGTCGTATCAGTGTTGAAAGAGCAGCGGTTGTCACTGCTGGGCGGACGAGATGGCCCATCCGCTATGCGGGCCATACCGCGTGGGAATCATTGTAATGTCACGGTTCGCGAGTTGCGCAAACGTTGCGCTTGGCAATTTGGCCAGAGCAGTTCGTTAGAAATCGTGGCCACCGTTATCAGAAATCTCGGTGGCAGTTCCGAATTCACCCCGCGTCTCCAGAGCAGACTTGATAGCGTAGCTGATCATCCGGAAGACCATTTATCAGTCGGGATGATACTTGTCCATCGGATCACTGTTGGCAGAGCAGCTGTTGCTACCGCCGAGGGGACGAGACGCCCCAGCTGCTGCGCGGGCGTGCGGTGAGGAACATTCGACATACCACGTAACCAACGGAAAGCAGTTTTCAATGCCTCTGAATTCTGACTACCCACTACAAGGTGCTTTGGTGCACCCTGCCCCGCAGGTTCTGACACCACTGTCGCCTGTGGGTGACATCGAATAGCGGCAGCAAATTGCTTTCTGTTGATATGGTCGGTCATTACTCACTACCTACCCTTGCCCCGCCGGGGGCAAGTCATGGTTGCCGTGTGCACGCACGCATTCATGCCGACGGATCTGTGCCTGCCGTGCTAATCTTTCTGTCAGGCATATGTTGAACAAAAAATGCCTGCCTGCTCCTTTTGAGGCCCGATCAGTGCATTACGGCTTATGCTTCCATTTGCTCCGCAGTCACTACCGGCCTCTGCACTCGCTGGTCGACGCTTTGTTCGGGAGTCTAGTTTTGTTTGCATTCAGCATGTCATTAACTATTCATTCGCGTGGTGGCCGCCCGCGTCAACTCTATGGTTTGCTGGCCGAGAGTGAGATCGCACCTGAATATGGTGATAAGACGCTGTACATCTTGACGCTATGCACATAACATTGCCTCGCCAGGACTGCAGTATGCTGGCTGATAGCGTGGGCAATCCACCCTGTCCTGGATTGACCATCAGTCTACTACCGTCGCCTCGTTCAGTGTTACCTGGGCCCTTCTCTTTTTGGGGAAACTTGGCCAACAAACGCAATGTGCTCAAAGGCTCGCTGACAATGTTGTGCAAGTTCGCACCAACAACCGCCACGCGTCCCACCAAGATAAATCGGGCAGGAGGAAAGTGCTCTATGGCTTGGATCCCCAGCTTGCACGTGCATACGCACCAGATGTGATCTGGAGGTGCATTATGCATGGCTCAGCGCCGGGCAGGCTAGTAGCCAATAGAATGAGCTAACCTGGAACTGATGGCCAACGTTTGCGCTTTCCCAGGCCAGTATCAGTGCTAGTGATTGGTATGTGGGCCCACGCCAGCATCTTAGAGCAGTGTGAGTGCGTAGTCCGCAGGTATGGCAGTGGTGAGGATATGGACGTGTGCTGCGTGCTGTACATATGTGGATGTGCATGTGGCAGGCGCGTATGCTATCGTGTGAAGTGATGGATGGGGTGCAGAAGTGCAGGTGGTGAGAGTTTGTGGCTACTGCTAGAGTGGCTAAGGCGAAAGCAGCCATCAGGGCGGGGCAAGATGGCCTGTTCGCTGGTACGGTATGTGCTTTTCTAGGCCGACAAGCTGTATGCGGTGTTGGCGACGATCGGGCCAGTAAGTGGGCTCACACGAGCAGCTTGTGGTGGTCTACGGGCATCTATTCTCTGTCACATGAATGCGAGGCGGTCGAGAGAACGCTGGTGCGTGCTTATGAACGTGTGTGCGTGGTGGTGTGTGTGTGTATGAGCGTTCTTTGCGAGCTTGTATGAGGTTATATGCCTGTGTAGGAAGAGAATATACGGATGTGTAAGAGGCGAGAGAGTTCTCGTGGATACTCTGAAAGCCACAGTTTATACTGCTTTGCTAGCCGGTACCGTGTACCCTAGTCAGAGGAATTGATGAGGTAGCGGTGGCATCATATGATTATGCATAGGTATAATGCTGAGGGTACAAATACACCTTCCGTAGTGGGGGTGCCATGCCTTCTAGGTTTATCACTTTTTTGGGTGCAAGCGGGCATCATATCGTATGCGTGTGGTGTGACGCCTAATGCCAGGCAGTTGTGTGAGTTCTTGGCCTCGGTGGTCGTTCGTTTGCCCTCAATGGGCAGTATAATTTCGGCCCTAGGGGCAGTATGCTTTTCCCTTGGCGGGCAGGTTGTCGGCCTCGGTGGCTATTCATTTGCTCAATAGGCAGTATGATTTAGCCCTCGGTGGGCAGTATATGATCGGTCCATGGTGGGCAGCATGCTTTGGCCCTCGGTGGGTACTACGCTTTATCCCTTGGCGGGAAGTTTGCTTTAGCCCTCGGTGGGCAGGCTATTGGCCTCGATGGCCGTTGTGCACCCTCGGTTGGGCGGTATGCTTTAGGCTTCGGTAGGCAGGTTGCTGGCCTCGGCGGCCGTTCACACGCCCTCGATTGGGCTTTACGCATATTCTTGAACCCTCGGTCGGGCTATAATCATGCGCCCTCGGTCGGGCTATAATCATGCGCCCTCGGTGAGGCTATAACCATGCGCCCTCGGTGGGGCTATAGCCATGCGCCCTCGGTCGGTCTATGCTATAATCATGCGCCCTCGGTGGGGCTATAATCATGCGCCCTCGGTGGGGCTATAATCATGCGCCCTCGGTGGGGCTATAATCATGCGCCCTCGGTTGGGCTATAATCATGCGCCCTCGGTCGGTCTATAACCATGCGCCCTCGGTGGGTCTATAATCATGCGCCCTCGGTGGGTCTATAGCCATGCGCCCTCGGTCGGGCTATAATCATGCGCCCTCGGTCGGGCTATACTCATGCGCCTTCGGTCGGGCTATAGTCATGCGCCCTCGGTCGGGCTATAGTCATGCGCCCTCGGTCGGGCTATAGTCATGCGCCCTCGGTCGGGCTATAGTCATGCGCCCTCGGTCGGGCTATAGTCATGCGCCCTCGGTCGGGCTATAGTCATGCGCCCTCGGTCGGACTATAGTCATGCGCCCTCGGTCGGGCTATAGTCATGCGCCCTCGGTCGGGCTATAGTCATGCGCCCTCGGTTGGGCTATAGTCATGCGCCCTCGATCGGGCTATAGTCATGCGCCCTCGGTCGGGCTCTAGTCATGCGCCCTCGGTCGGGCTATAGTCATGCGCCCTCGGTCGGGCTATAGTCATGCGCCCTCGGTCGGGCTATAGTCATGCGCCCTCGGTCGGGCTATAGTCATGCGCCCTCGGTCGGGCTATAGTCATGCGCCCTCGGTCGGGCTATAGTCATGCGCCCTCGGTCGGGCTATAATCATGCGCCTTCGGTCGGGCTATAATCATGCGCCCTCGGTGGGGCTATAATCATGCGCCCTGGTCGGGCTATAATCATGCGCCCTCGGTCAAGCTATAATCATGCTCCATAATCCGACCCAGGGCGCATGCCCTGGGTCGGGCTATAATCATGCGCCCTGGGTCGGGCTATAATCATGCGCCCTTGGTCGGGCTATAATCATGCAGCGGGCAGGTTGCTGGCCACGTCGGCCATTTGTACGCCCTCTGGTCTAACATCAAATACTATTTATATTTAAAATCTTTAATCAAATTGAAGTCATGGCAACCCCCAAACCTATGTGTTGATTGCTTGTGAGTGCGTGCGTGATTACGTCGTTGTACGCACAGACGGGGCGTGGGAGTGTCTGCAAGTATGTTTGTGCACATGAATGTGTGTGTGTGTGTGTGTGTGTGTGTGTGTGTGTGTGTGTGTGTGTGTGTGTGTGTGTGTGTGTGTGTGTGTGTGTGTGTGT